AGGGGATGTTGAGTCGCGACTCTCCATAGGCTTGCCATCGGCGTCGACATGCGCGTTTTGTACCCAACTCCGCTGCTCTTCGCAACGGCTGTGGCTGCCGTACCTTACCAACAATACATCCTTGCTCCTCCCTCGCGAACTCTTCGACCCGTCGCCGTACGGCTCCAAAGCGGTTCACTTTCCGCTGCAACTGCTCTGTTAGACAGCCAGGTTTCCCTCAGTCTCATCTTAGATACCTTCAACTCCTCGGTAACATACGACTTTGGCAAAAATGTCGCCGGCTGGGTCAACTTCAATACAACCTCGAACGGTGGGGCTGTCGGTTTCACCTTCGCAGAAAGCTCTCTGTGGATCTCTCCAGAAGCATCCGACGCCACGGCGGACGCGGGATCGGACGCACCTCTCGTGTTCAACCTTACGGCTGCGGGACATTATGCGGCTCCTATTGACAGGGAGCGTGGCGCGTTCCGCTATCTAACGGTCGTCAACCTCGGTCCCGGCCAGGTCTCCATCAACGACCTCTGGGTGCATTTCACGGCGATGCCGCATTGGAGAGCCGACTCATTGCGGAACTACACAGGATGGTTCCATTCTAACGACGAGAAGCTGAACCGGTGTGTGCCGACTCAATGCTACGTAGCTGACTCAAGCTGACGGTCGCCGTAGGGTGTGGTACGCTGGTGAGAGGGTCGCCCATCCTGACCTGCAACTCGTACTCACGATGATGCAGGGGCGTACACCAATCAACTCGTGACGATCGACCCGACCCGTGGCGACGCTCTCAACTATCTCAATGTAATTACGAGCAATTCGACAGTCACCGGTACACTGGACTGGTGGCTGAACACGACCATCACGAATGGCACTTCCACTTTGACCGATGGCGCGAAACGGGACAGGCTGGTGTGGAGCGGGGACATTTCTATCGCAGTCCTGGGTATCGCAGTCACGACGTTCGACCTCATCTCCGTCAGGAACGCTCTCGACTCGCTCTACGACCTCCAAAACGGCAGTGGGCTCCTCCCGTACGCCGGTTACCCTTTCAACGAGCTCGGGATCGTCTCTTTCACGTATCACTTATATGCCCTCATCGGTGTCGAGAGCTTCTTCCACTACACCGGCGACCAGTCCTACCTTGGTGGGAAGTGGTCGCAGTGGAAAGCAGGTCTGGAATGGGCGGCGGCACAGATCGATGACACGGGCCTCGCGAACGTTACCGCGTCTGCCGACTGGCTGCGCTTTGGCATGGGCGGGCACAACATCGAAGCGAACTCTATCCTGTTCTACACCCTCAACCTCGGCGTCGCCCTCGCCCAGATCCAAAACAACACCACGACGGCCGACCGTTGGGCGCAGCTCGCGGCGGGGATTCAGGCTGCAGCGATCCCGCTGCTGTGGCAGCCAGATGTCGGGCTGTTTAGGGACAACGAGACGACGACGCTCGCGCCACAGGATGGGAATGCATGGGCAGTGAAGTCGGGGCTCGTCACGAACACGTCGCAGGTGGTGCAGATCTCAAACGCGCTGCAGGCGCGGTGGGGCCAGTACGGGGCGCCCGCACCGGAGGCGGCGGACGCGGTGTCCCCTTTCATCTCTGGGTTCGAATTGGAGATGCACTTTGCGGCGAACCGGACGACGGCGGCGCTCACCCTGATCCGTAATATGTGGGCGGACTTCATGCTTGATGACCCGCGGATGACGAACAGCACGTTCATCGAGGGGTACTCTACGAGCGGAGAGCTGCATTATGCGCCGTACACGAACGATCCGCGGATCTCGCACGCACATGGGTGGGGAACGGGGCCTACGAGCTCGCTCACGGTCAGTGATTCCGGCTTTGTCTTATCGCCTCACTGAAAACCGATTGCTTCTGTGCAGACATATGTCGGCGGCATCCAGCTTGTGGGCGCGGCGGGAGCTACGTGGGCGATCGTGCCTCAGGTGGGCGACTTGACGCACGTCGATGCCGGGTTCTCGACCACTCTCGGTCGCTTCTCGTCGAAGTGGTTCACG